CCTTTATGTAACGATTGGCAGCTGACAGCAGATTGTTCCATGTGAATGACAGCTTTTAATTCCAATTTGAGAAGTTAAGTGCATTAGAAGTGCATCCTTCAGGTGCACCACAAAAGTCAAGGTGGGTTATGTTAAAGTCTTCAAGACCCAATTCATAGGTTCTTCCAGCCCGATTGCTCCCCATCTCATCTCTTTCCAAAACACGTTGACTCTGTTAGGACAAGGTAAACACAGCTACTTAGAAGGTGCTCTGTAAAGCAGTATTTCTAGGAAAATAAACAAAAATGCTCCCTTGAAACCATGCTTCAGTATTTAAGAAAGTCGTTGATGACTTTCCTAGTACATCTGGCCATTTTACAAGTACAAGGCTTTTGCCTTCTGCCTTTGATTACATCTTGGTGCATAAACTCTGAGTTCTAAACCATCCATCTGCACAAAAAAAAAATCCCTTCCAGCTTTATTTACATTGCTAACAGGAATGCTGGGCTAGGCATCAGTCATGCTTCTACACATACTGTCTTAGGAATCTTATTTCAGCGCCTTGCTGTGCGGTGGGTGGCAGCTTCTGGTAGGATCGATGGGTATTTGCCTACTACTTTGTAGAAACAGGATGTTTAGCCAAGTCAGCAGATTCAATGGTGGCCATACCACAGGGAATAATTTGAGTACAAAAAGGCAAGTTCTGCAACCTACACATTTACTGAGAAGCAGATCTTCACTTGAAACATACCTCTTCTACCTTGCGTATCTCCCCTTCATGACAAATGGGATGTTTGTGAGATGTTACGAAACACTGGCAATCACACTTCCATTACTCTTACGTTAATTTATCTTATTTTCCATCAACATGACAAATTGTTTAGAAAGGAGTGTGCAGCTCTGAACAAGAACAAAAAGTTAACTCCTAAGCAACAGGAAGGAAAGCTAACACTTGTAACACTTGTGTCCCATGCTAAGCATTTCCAGCCTCTGCTAGACACTTTTTCCCACCAGTAGATTGCAAGGAAGTTTGGTTTTGTTTTTTGGGTGTGGGGTCCCCCCCCCCCGCCCTCTTGTTTTATTTTTAACTACCAGTTCTGCCCCAGTAGAAAGGTTTCATTGGAGTAGGTCCCCTGAGGAGCTCATCACTACTTCCCAGGGAACTGTGATGTTGTGCATTTTACTATGAAGTGAACATAAACATTATCTGACAAATTTACTTGACATCATTTGTATAACACATCCATAGCTTTCCAAAGTAGAGAAGGATTTTTTTTTCAGTAAGCATCACATGAAGGAAAACATTAACACCAAAGTAGTCTCATGCTATAGTTGGTAGAAGGACATCTATCATACACACACATGACAGGAAGAAACACAGACTACAGGTAATCATCCTCTGGAACAAAGGTTAACAGATACCTTTAAAGAGCAACAGCTGTATTTGCTCTTATGATCAGCTTCCTAATACAGCTGAAACCAAAATATTATTCTCAATATTAGTTAAATGGAAGCCTTGAAAATCAGCTCTTAAAAATCTGCATTAATTAAGCACTGAAACAGAGCAGAGTAGACAAGAGGGGAGTAGCAGTTCAGAATGCATTAAACAAACTCCTGACATGTTTGGTTTAGGCAATTCCTTGAAGTACAGAAATGGACTAAATGACCTCTTGATATCTGCTGCCAAGAGGTCTAACAGCCAGATAAGTGAATTCACTCTTATCTGATCGGATACATTAAATCTAGATCAGTTCTGTGTGTGCTAACTCCAAAATACATCTTGGACAACTCCATTACACACAGGCTTAGAAATCATCATCTGGGCAGGTTTCTTTCAAGAGATCCTATTCTGAGGAGTTCACCTAAATAATACGGTGCAGGTGCATAGTTTAAGTGCTTTTTCTAGTATTTAGTGTCTTAACCTTCAATTACGGAAATAAGTACTTACCTACAACGTATTCTAATCACAACATGATGCAAAGCCATGTTAAGAAGGCTAAAAAGTCTTTACTGAATTTATTGATACAGAAACACTTATTAATAAACTTTAAATTGCATAACACTTCTGCATGCCTCAGGCCAATTTAACTCTAGTTTCTACACAAGGATTTTTCAACTTACACACTGATGATTAAAGCAGCTTGAAGTCCTTTTCTTTTTGCAAATTTACTGCAGTTATCGAAACCTAAAAGGAGTCACATACAATTAAAGTGAAGACTACTTAGAACACAAAAGGAAACAAAGCAGGTAAAATTCCTGGACATTTTACAGACTATACAAAACCAGTTATGCTACAATTACTCTATTAAAAATGCATACAAAACTACAGTGCAAGTGCTTGTGCACAGGGAAAATGTATTTACAGTTCCCCTTTATTTACAGGCTATAAGCAATGCTATTTCACAATTATATTACACATAAAATTTCTACTATGTGTTTGTTTGGATCTGTGGGTTTTTGGACAAAGGGACAATTCGACAACCTAGAACATATATATTTGTTTATTCAACCTTACCCAGGAAAAAATAGCAGTATTTTATGCATCTTATAGAAAGCTACAAAAATCTAGCAAATGTAATAAAAAAGGCAAATCTGGTGAAAAATCTGATAAAATATCTTTTCAACTGGGGGTGGGATGCAGATAAAAATCAAACAGGGATAAATGAAAGATAATTCTCCCTCAGCTGGTCAGCTTTAACAGAATCTCAGCAAGGCTCACTGATAGGAACCTGAAGTTTAACGTAATTTTTAAAGCAACTTCTTTAAAAGAAGTTTTGTAATTAACAAACTGAAGGATGACCTGGTAGCCAGAAGTAGGAGGCCCCCTGTACTACGTAGGGGTATGGAAACTGTGCCACAATACAGACAGACACATACCTGGTATGACAACTATCAAGCAGAAACGCCTAACAAATACAGAGGCGACAGCCTTTGGGGAAGCACAGAGAAATATTACACGTAGATTCTATTAAGCCTCTATTTACCACCCTATTCAGGATTTTCATTTGTAGAAAGAAATTCATTGTAGTTGCCAGAATTCCAAGATGGGTACTTGCATGTTTACAGGAAACCATCAGCTCAGTGGCCACAGAACTGCCCCGTTTAAAATAAAGAAATAAAAATCTGAGGGAGCAAAATAGCTTGGGGTACCATTTAGACCCGAAGCGGAGACTTAGGAAACCAGAGGCAAAACACAGCCTAGGACTGCGTTATATGCCAGTGGCCACATGACACCATATTTTCAGATGATATTCTCAAAGATATACAAAAAGCCTATTAAGCAAGGAAGAGTTCTCCACCTCCGGCTTAGACGTACAAGAGTTACCTGTTTATTTTCAAAGCCACACAAAACTTCGAAACACTATTTATCACTAAGCAAGTTGTGCAACCCAGTACCTTTAACCAAAAACCCAATATATTTTTGGCAAGACAGTCTTCATTCATTCTTCCTCAGAAAATGAGGAGACAGAGTACAAATAAAGATATCAAAGTGATACCAACCTAAGTGCTTCTGATGGGGCAATGCCTTAACATAGCTTCATTACCTACTGAGGGGGGTTTTGTTGACCCCCACCTCACCTTTAGGAGTATTTCACATCAATACAAGCTCAAGGGTTTCTCTCCAGCCTTTACTATTTTAGGTAGATTTTTCAAACAGGCTGAACCAAGTAAACTTCCTCTCCTAAACCTGATCTCTCCTTCCACCACCACTACAGGAAGACTTGGGAATAAAAATTGTAATTCACATCCACAGAATTGCAGAGCGTTCACAGAGTAGTCCTTCTATATGAGCCTGTTAAAACATCCACTTAATTGTTGCAGGAATAAAATAACCTACCTAGTCAATTAACTTCATTCCACCTACTGTATGCAGACCATGTGGTACAAGTTGTATTCCAGCCACCTTGCTACAGCAGGGTCACACACAGAGGAACACCTAAGAACTGCATCAATTTGGCTTTCTAGACTGTTTTCAGGTTCTCATACCCTCCCCAAAACTACATTTCGCTGATTTACTGGGACACAAGCCATGCCACTCAGGCTAGCGCTCTACGTTTCACTCCGTTCAGCCCAGCAGACCCAAGTTATCTCACACAACAGAAGAGTCTGCAGATTCTGCTTTCACAGTCAGTTTTCACAAGCACACTGCGCCGCATCTCCTCTCTACCCTACTCCCCACTCAGAATTACTCTGTAAACATTTCCAGAGACAACAGTCACAACCCTGACTATCCTAGCATCCTGTCAAAGCTAATCAGCTTTGCAATTCTTCACTTGCCTCCATCACTAAAAAAAACCAAAACCAAATAAAAAACAACTTTGCATCTCTTACACTAATTCACTAGAACAGGTGTTTCCCATTAAGAAAACCAATGTTCTGTAAAATATTTTTACCTTTTACTGAAAAATTAAATAGAGTTTATACGCAAAACTGAGACCAACCAAAGGGGAGCTGATGCTTTCCTTCTCGTTCAAAACCTGGATGCCACAAGGATAATGCCAAAAATTCTTTCCTTTCTGTAAAAGTTGTGCTTTTTCAGATTACTGGAAGAAACAAGATTTGCCAGGTCAGTTTTTACTAATCTTCATCCTCCATTAAACACACACCATGGTAAATACATGGCAGGTTTAGTGGGAGAGAGCACAGACAGCAACGGTCTTTGGGGAACTGCTTAAGAATATTTAAAAACTGCAATTCGGTAGAGCAGCCATGAGATTTTTAGAGTATCTCTGTGCAGTTAGTTTCAGGGAATTAAATCCTCCTTTCCATAAGCAGCTGAGCATTTCACCAACTTGCTTCCTAAGGAATCCCCCTGCTGTAGGATAAAACTATAGCACACAACTGAGAAGAAAGAGGAAACTCAAAAAAAGCTATAATGTTTAAGTATACAGCAGCCACATTCCTCAGCTAGCCTACTGTCTTGGGTGGTCATATTAGCAGGCAAGCAAGTGGTATACATTTGTCAAGCCCTAAGTAGTAGTTTATTTTCTGCCTACTTCCCACTTCCTAGAAGAAGGAAATTACTTTTCCCTGTAATAAAGCAGGTAATATTTCAAGGGATCAGGCAAAGGCAGACTCAAGACCTTTTCTCTCAAAAAGTTTACAGGGGGATCTGGCTTTAGTTCAGAGGGTTTAGTTTCTTCCTCTTCTCTTCTCTCATCCTCAATATCCTCACTGTTGTTGTTATCATCTGATGGGTTGGAGATACGGCTAGCGAAGACCTCTTTGTCCAAGAAAACAATAGTTTCCATGCGACGGCGACGCACACGTCTTCGTTTAAATCTTGGGGGGTTCTTCAGCCCGTTTCCATTTTTACTCATTGTTTCTTGATGTATAATTTTTTTAATGGTTCCTCGGATGGCTATGCGAGCCAAATCCTGGAGGCTGCGAACAGCCACTGGGGCTAAAACAAAACAAAAACCATGAACAGATATGGAGAAACTCCCCTCAATAGTACTCACAGAAGAAGTTGTATTTGCTCAAATTAAATCAGGCCACTTGAATCCCCTGCTGTGATTACAAAAACAGCTCTATTCAACTCCTGTCAACTCGGATAAACTGTATTGTAATTTTCCAAACAAAATTTAATTATGCATTTCTCTCATTAACTGAAGAAAAAGAATGAGATGAAAGAAGAGTTTCACAATTATTTTAAGATACACATGTCTTAAAGATTATAAGAATGTAGACTTAGTGACTGAAATTGTGACTGTTTAATAACTTAAAAAAAGATATTTTACTACTGTAGATAACTAGACCTGGAGTCTATTTAACTCTTCCATAAAACGATTTTTCTATTGTGAAGTTACTTCAGCTTCGCCAAGTTCTTCACTTGTAAAACATAAGTACTATTTACGCTCTTCAAAAACCGCTTCAGACTTAGTGGGTGAGGACAGGCTGGAAACCATTTGGTAAAAGTAATTATAGAAGCATACAATAACTTATTGTATTATAATACCTCCCACATTAATGCTTTCGAAGACTGTTGTGTCTTCTGCACTTATCTGCTGCCAGTCCATAAAAGCACAACATAACGCATGCAGCATAAAGGGAAAAAAAAAAATGTATTGATGCACACACATCCATGTCCTAACATGAATTAAAACTGCAACAAACAAACACCCCTGTCTTCTAATTCCTTCATTCAGGTCACAGGAATGCTGACTTGTCAGTAGAAAAAAACTACATGTAATACATATGCAGGTCTCACTACAAAGCCACCACACAAAGCATGTGGAAATATGTACTTTATGGACTTTACAGCACTGTATGGACTGCTTACAGAGCTGCATTTTATCAGGCAAAGACACCTTTCCAGAATAAGAACAAAGTCTGACTAATCTCTTTATGGAAGCATCTGAATCTTCATGTGTTCTTAAGAGGCCTCTCTACACTGAAGTCTTAATCTAAAGATTGAGGCCACTGCATATGACCTGCATTTCAAAGAGCTAACCAAAAAGTACACAACTTCTATCCCTCAAGCATTCCAGGTTCAGAATAATTCTGAATTGCTGGGCAGTGAGAGCCTTTGAGTAGATACAATGTTCGTTCACAGGTACTGCTTGTGTATATTCCACCGCCATGGCACAGTGCCTGAAAACCATGACAGTACATAATTTGGGATTGAAACAGATGTCTGCATGTGCAAAAACAATGACCAAACATCCCGCACATTTTTGGTACAATTTCACAAGAAATCATTTTATTTAGATTCTATTTTATGCAATTCTGATTCTTGCACCAGGCCTCTGCAGATGTCCTCAAAGATAGACTGGGATCCAACACAAGACTTAGACAACTGTTCAAAGAAGGAAGCAGTTGGATTAATTTTCCTTGAAAGGATTCATAGGGATGTTACATCTAAGGAAGCTAGGTGCAGATTATAGCCAAATAGCAGAAGAAATCTCCCCCATATTCAAGAACATCTGTACTCACGCAAGTGAACAAGCCTTGATTTTCCTGAATCCGCGTGGTTAGGCTGAATCAAAGGAGCGAAAGAAACAGCAAGAATCTTCTTGGTCTCCCAGGCAGAAGGACCAGTACGAGTTATCTTAGTCAACTAAACCAAAACAAGGAGATTATTGTCCACTGTGTGAACTACAGCAAGATTTTTAAACAAAAAATGAACAAACAACTTCTCTGCCTGGACAAGTGGTTAAAGTATTAAAAGCTACAACAGCAAAAGTGAGGTAATAAGGACAAACACTGGTGTTTTTTTGAGAAAAATTGAGAACCACTTACAGGATTATCCCCAAGTAACTTCATCTGTTGCAACAGACTATGGGCCCTGGCAATCTGGGTCACCCTGCTTTCCCAGATCTTCCTCAATTCTGAACCAGAACAGCTATGCCTGACCACTGAGAAAACTCACCACAGACTGACGAACATTCACTCTGGAAGGAAGTCTGCATGTCACTGGATTTCTGTTCCAGCTCAAATCTCTTAACGCTAACTCACTGCACAGCATCTTACTGGGAAGAAACTCTGCTCTTCTCAACTACCCTGACAGAGTTAAAAGCTCACATAACTACACCTCAGCCATTCAAGTCCACTAAAACAACACATCTTTACACCAAAAAGATAATCTGAGGTACAACGTTGAGCTCGCACACAGGGCAGTTACCCACTTTTTACTAAGAAGAATCTATTGACACTTGTAAATGGGTACAACTTGCACGCTCTTTCATACGTCAGTTAGGGTGTAAAATTTTATATCTTGCCATTAAGTACCACACTAGATTATATAACTTGAACAAAGCCTTGCTTGTATTTTTCTGCATCATGAAAGTAAATCTACAATCAAGAATAGCAGTTCAGAATACGTGAAAGACTGGTAGAGCTATGAATTTCTCAAATATTATGAAGTGTGCACAGTTCAGTTTCCACTCATAGTGAAAACGGGTGCACTTAATGCTTTCTGCAACCTGTGACAAGATGGGCAAACTAAAGGAAGAGCTATTGTCGAAACCAAGATCAGAATGAAGAGTAACTGAAAGAGAAACATGAGTAGAAAGGCACTCAACCTTCTCTTCTAGAGGCATGACCAGAATTCCCCCAACTTTCAACAGGTTCTTCATGTAGTCTTCATGTTCCTTCTGTACTCCGGCACCACAGTAAACACGGTCGTACTGAGTACAGTCTGGAGAAATCTCTAAACAATTGCCAGTAACAAAAGATGGCTCACAAAATTCAAATCTGAAAATGAAGAAGATGTGTAACATACAATAATATTACAATTAATCAAATGAATTATTGTCATGATTGTGAAAAAATTAAACAATGAAAAATACTTGGAAAAAAACCAGTTTCACATGATTTCTTCTCTGAAGCCCCTATATTCTAGACAGTATCACAACAGACCATAGCTAGAAGTCTCAAAGGCACAGCACAATAAGGTGATCATTTATAGATGAAAATCTCCAGAAGATAAGGATGCATAATTTCATACTTGAGTTGCATATAACTTTTCAGAATTAATTATTTTTAGTCACCTGATGCCAACTCAGTTATAATCTGCAAATATAAGTATTAGACTTGCAATTCCAAAGTTAAAGTCTTTTAAGGACTGCACCAGGGATATTTTGGCATTTTCAAAAGCTTTCAAATGGTTTCCAGATGTTGTGGGGAACTATCACCTGATGCTTCAGAAATATGCTTTGCTGAAGCCAATGGAAGTTTTGCCATTAGCTTCAAAAAAATGGTGATTTCACCCTTCATAAAAATAATTTTTGCCTATAGCATTTCTGATTCAGTTTAGAAGAAAAATGAATGATTCTATGATGCTTCTGGTTTTCTTACATGCCCCAAAACTATGCAAGAGCCAATTTAGATAGAAGTTATACAACACATCTATTCTTCTCCTGGTATCTTGAGAGGTAGCTCAATATAGCACCTATTTTTCCTAAACACTTCCTGAAGCTTTCTGGTTTTGCAAAGTGCGCTAGACATTCAGAGCAGCCAACTAACAGCTCCTGCACATGGTGTTCTAACAGCAGACACTTCTCTCAGCAATGCCAATTTTCCAGTCATGTTTATTTCTGAATTCAGCTCACGTTTGCTCCATAACTGTATTTGTCTGAAGAGAGGGAAAAAAAAAAAGTCTTCCTTAAAACACCTATCCAAACAATAGCAATGTGACTCTGAAAAAGCCCAGTCATCTATGTGCAAGCACTATCCACACCGAAAACTTTCTGTCTGCTGCCAACATCAAGAAAATACAGCCCTTTCATCAGTAGCTTTCCAGTACAGCAGGAACAGCACAAGGCTGAGTAGTTTAAATTCCAGCATGTAATGACTTTAATTCTCTTCCTCCCACAAGAGGAGGACTATCCAGAGATGCTTTACTTTCCTGTTTGAACAAACTGTGAGATGGATCCAAAAATATGACAACTACAACTTTTATTGCTGAGGTTACTATTGGCAATGGTTATCTTGCTGGAAAGTGATTACTTGTGACAGCAGCAAAATGGAGGTTCTAAGGAAGAACATAAATCAAATCCCAAGCACTTTTAGTTCCAACTTCATCATCGTAACACTACTTTCATATTTTGAAACACTATTTTTCTTCTCAGATAAAACATACTAGGCCACCACAGTAATCAGCTCATATTCTTCTGATAATCATGCATGCCCTCAGATCACAAACATATTATTGTTATTTGCAAGTTTCGAGTTGTTACCTGCAAGTGCATTTTAAAATAAGTAACCTTCTTCAGCTTCCTCTAAGCTCTGCAACAGCAGTACTGCTATTAAAAACACTGCAAAAATTTCTGAAACTTCCCCACAATACACATCAGCTTTGAAAGTCACACACTGCAGCTCAGCAAGCCTAAGGAGCCAGAATCCTCAGATTACCCTGAATCCAGAGCTGCCACATGACAGCAAGAACTGCCATGACTAAAGCCAAATCCACAAAATGAATCCGAATGGGCATTCCGTATGCTTACTTGTCAAAGCTGTCACTTGTTTTAATGAAGAAGTCCAATTTCTGCTTTGCATATTCGATCACATCAGAATGAAGCTCCACACCATGGTTAACACCAAAAGGACCTGCAAATTCAGAACACTTAGGATAACGGTAACAGGCAACACCACCAAATCCAACAGGACTGAATACAGTTTTGGCTACTTCCTATAACAAATTGCTCCTTGAGTGTCAGACAGTCAGAGCTTGTGTAGGGCCAGCTACCTTAGTACTACAACGGGAACTGCAAACTTACACCTGCAATTTCTGCCAGCAAATGAGGCTGTTTTGCACAATTTTGAATCATTTGCTCTTAACTATACAGGAAATTCCTCTGTAGGAGGAAAACATTGATACTATTGCTGTAAAACTGACCACCTGGAAAAAAATTCTAATGCAGAACAACAGACCGCATGTCTTAATAAATCCCTCCAAAAATCTTTATGTTATTTTTATATCCCCTTGCAGATATGCTAAAAATCTCCTCAAAGGAATCAGAAACAGTCACCATACATTGTACCACAATTAATAGCAAAAAAAATTGGAAAATACAGAAGTTTTTCAGTACTCACGCTTTTTATTCAGAACTGACTTGGTAACTTTTGAATTCTTTGAATTTTTGGAAAAGCCCTGGAGTTACATATTAGCATCCTAGGTAATCTCAAAAAATCCAGCAGAAAACCAAAAATGTGGGATGGGAGCGCAGCTCCATCCTGACAACAAACATTTTGGCACTTAAAATTCTTGACACCCCCACAAAAGGAAAATATATACGCTACAGTTATTTGCTATCTATCCTGGCAGCATAATTGCTCACTGAAATACTTAAGGGCAAATTGCAATTGTGTGATTGCAATTTGATGCTGTGCTTTGTGCCCACTATAGATGTGGTCACAAAGCCAGTTCTGCTGCACAAACTGCTTTCCAGATACTATTCCCACCTGTATGCTGGTAAGAGTCAGAATTGGATCTCAAACATGTTTTAGTCTAGGCAGGACAGTGCAAAAACAAACAAGTCTCAGAGCAGTTGTAGTTGTAGGTTTCTGCGGACATGCCTAATCCTAGTTTAAACACCGCTCTCCTGCTCCTAAGCTGCATTCTTGCTTAAGGGGCAATAAACCCAAGTTTGCATCCAGTCCTGCAGGAATCCACTGCAGCCACTTGTGCAATTACATCACTGCCTGTTCTGAACTGCCACAGAAGTACGGATCCCATCTAGTTCTAGAAAGAAGGTTGCAAGAATTCCGATAAATCAGCCAGTTGGATTAATGCACTTTTCACTTTCCTAGTTACCTTTTAATTTCATTATTTGAGGAATGCTTCATTCCCCATTTCAAAACTTTTTTTTTTAAAAAAAATCTAACATAAACAGTTAACATGACTGAAAAGGTATTTACCCAAGATGAGTCCAACCATAGAACTCAAATAACCAGTGCCACTGCCAAGATTCAAAAATGACAGCCCTGGTTGCAGGTCCAAAGCTTCCATCACCTCAGAGTAAATGCACGGTGCTGAGAGATGAATATTTCCATGCTTCCACGCCAAGTCCTTGTAGGCATTGTCTTTGAACTCTTCCAAGTAGTAATCTGCTCGATCGATGGCTCGGAACGCCTGTTCTACCAGTTCTGTCCGGATGTATTGTGCCTCCTTCAGGTTATCAATTAATTCATCATTATCTTCTCCTGCACTCACTGCACCTCCCATCTTCAACCGTTTTCTATAAGCACTAAAACTAAAACAATAATAAAGGAAAGTGAGGTATAGAACATGCACTCCAACACGAAATTATGCTGCTGTATATGAAGTACTTTGAGAGATATCTTTAAGGTACTCTAAGGACCACAAGCACCAGAAAAACAGTACCAACAGCACCCCCATCCCCCATTCAAACAATGAAAACCAAAATGCAGCAGATCCGGCATCTAATACCTGACACTAGTGGGGAAAATCACAATAGGCAATTTAACTGTGCAATGCCTGTCTTCAAACACTACCAACATTTTACTAGCATGTCAGCTTTTCCACTGAACCCTTTATATAAAAGGATTATTCTAGCTCCTATGCTTATAGGTCATTTTTCACTGCAAATCCAACCAACAGTGCAAGTTTGGCTTGCCTGTCAGAATTCTTGCCACACGCAGACTTTCTATCTCTAGTAGTATCAAGGGGAAATACGGAGACTAAGACATGCAGCAAGAACCAGAAAAATCTCAAATTACATTTTCTTTGAACATGCATCAGGATGCTGATTCCAGAAAAGTTAAAAAAACCACACAAACTCTGACTTAGAGTGCAGGCTTACTTACTTTAGCAAACCCGCTTTCACACGGCTCATCCCTAGAGCTCGAGCCACCATCATTAGTAAAGCACTTAACAATATAGAGAGCAACTGCAGAGAGAATTTCCACTGAAGCCTGTGGAATTTCCTAGGTCCTCTTAAGTCCTCTATGAGCTAACCCCCAATTCGGAAACTCTCCGGTGACACAGATTTATGAGTTACAAACACTTCTGACTTCACCAACATGATCACCTCCAGCAACCTGTTCAGGCTTGTTGGTGTGCGGGGAAGGAAAAGCAAGCACCTTCCCTGACTGTGCATTACACTAAGCATGGCTATAGACTTCATGTAGTCTGTAGGTTTTAAAGGAAAAGGTATAGGAGGAGAAGAACATAGAAGAACTTATCACTCAAAATTAATCTAGCTTTTCTTCCCTTCCCATATCTTTAAAAAAAAATAAAATCTCCTTTTCAGAAAACACAACATGATTTTTTTAAAATGCATTTATTTACAATGCCTTTCTCTGCTCACAATAACCACAGAAGAAGCAGCTTTAGAGTTCATGTCTGGGAACAGAAGACCTGCCTACAGCGAAACTGTTAGGGTTTATTTGTTACATTCAGCAAGAGCAAATTATACACTTCCATTTTCAGAGGAAACAAAGAAAAGCTACAGGAGTCTAAAGAAATTTCACAGTTATTCAAATAACATACCATCCTGATTACCTGTAGACACACACAAAATAGGATATACTTAGGCAGGGAACTCGAGCCAGTTTTTAATACATTCATGTCTCAAACACATCAACCCAGTCCCAGACCATTCATAAAACTTGCAAAAAAATGCCATCCCTCTCTTTTCTATAGTTACTCCTTCATTTTCTCTACAAAAAATGATTGTGTTTTATTATTTCACAGTGGAAAAGCATCAAGTTGAAGGCTTATGTGGGTTCATCAGATGATTCCTTTTTTTTTCCTCCTCTTAGATACAGAACAACTCATCACATCTGCACATATAGAGTTGCTTATATCTTTGGCCATCATGCTTTCAACAGTATTCTGTATTAAAATACTCTCTTCCCTGAGGGTGTTGATTCCCTTGACTTTCTTTTGGATATTTTGTTCTTAGGCTTGCTTATTTCTTCCACTTAAGCTCGTTTTGCTACTCAAAATCTACATTTTTAGATTTAAAGTATGAATAAGAAGTTGTGCCTTTAACAGTGTTCCACTTTGGATCCCCAACAAATTCTTTCTGATGTATACAAGTCCCACTGGGACAACTGGTCTGACCTGGCTTTAGCTCAGCTATATGATCAACAACTGTTCTCCCACGTTCTACAACATGGAAGACGTTTTTCTAATGAGATCAAGGAATAGCCAGGTCACGACAGGTGTCAGTTACTTCTGAAACAATCACTTTTACTGGACACTAGCTTACTTCCAATAAAATGCATGTTTTATATGCAGAACATAGAACTTTGACATTTAAATTCCTCTTCAGATAATTCCACATCTTTGTTTAACCTTGTTTCCCTTCTCCTATTGGGAGAGGGGAATTTTTTAAGTTTTTTAAAACAAGATCCTCTCCCTCCACAATTAGCCCAGTTGCACTTTTCACGCTTCTAGGTAAAGCACAGATTTCTACAAATCTGAGCAGGGACAAAGTTCACATGCAAAAATTATGATCATTAGCTGATCACAACACAGGTATCAAACCAAGCAGCCTTCTAGCGTTGAAACATCCCTTCAGTTGCACGTTGTCATCTTCCCCTTTAAGAAAAACAAACCAGAAAAACAAACAAGTCTGACATGAGAAGCTGCATTCAGACGCCTGAACAAAACACTGAAATTGAAGCAATTTCTTCCAAGGCAAACACCAGCAGATGCACAAGGGAAGACTCAAAACAATACACAAGGCACAAAAATGCAATTCTTCACCCCAACAGATTTCCAGGGTAATCCCTGCTCTGACTTAATACGCTCCAGAAGGAATAACAAAGGTGAGGCTATTTACCGATATAAAAAAAAAAATTACAGTTGGTAGAGCTTTCAGTCCAATCCCTTCTAACCCTCTCAAACCACAAATCAAAAAACCCCACACCACATAGCTCAACCACTACCTGCGCTATTAGGCTGCTGCAGAGGCAAATGACGGAGATGAGAGAGTGGAAGGGAGGTCTAGGAAAGCCTGATACTGATATCCCCAACCTCCCGCTTTAATTACAGCTGGGTGGCCCCGGTCTCCACACAGCATC